GGGGTGGGATGCTGAGCCATGGGAGGTGTTGAGCTGGGGACACAGGACAAGGCCAGAGGTTCTGTGGGGACTCTGAAGGTCACCTCTCTGTCCCTACAGCTGGAAGCCAGTGGCTGACTACATTGACCAGCAGTTTGAGCAGTATTTCCGTGATGAAAGTGGCCTCAACCGGAAAAACATCCAGGACAATCGCGTCCACTGCTGCATCTACTTCATCTCACCCTTTGGCCATGGGTACGGGCAGCCCCTGCCTGCACTGCTGAGATCACAGAATGACAGAGTCATTCAGGTTGGAGAAGACCTCTAAGATCATCCAGTCCAACCACCAACTCATCACCACCATCCCCACTAAACCATGTCCCTGAGTGCTACATCTATGTGTTTCTTGAACACCTCCAGGGACGGTGACTCCACCACTGCCCTGGGCAGCCTGTTCCAATGTCTGACCACTCTTTTGGAGAAGACATTTTTCCTCATATCCAACCTGAACCTCCCCTGGTGCAACTTGAGGCCATTTCCTCTTGTCCTATGGCTGGTTGCCTGGGAGAAGAGACCAACCCTGAGATGGGGGTTGCTGGGGAAGGGGCTTGGTGGGACAGTGCTCACCAAGTTTCCCCCACAGGCTCCGGCCCCTGGATGTGGAGTTCATGAGAGCCCTGCACCAGCGGGTGAACATCGTGCCTGTGCTGGCCAAGGCTGACACCCTGACCCCCACCGAGGTGGAGCGCATGAAGAACAAGGTAAGGGGGGGCTGGTTACCAAGGTCCCTGGGGATGTGGGTGTCCTGGGGGTCGGGGTCCCCACTCAGCTCGGGGCTCTCTCCATCCCCTTCCTGGACTTTTCCATGGAGCATCCTCCATGCTCACGGCACTGTAGAGGATCACGTTGCCTACATGGCCACCAAGGACACATCTCCTTGGTGCTCAGCTGGGGGCTGGAAAGATCTAAGGGGGTGTCCTTGACATGTAGTCTGGTGGGGACAGGCTTTTGTGGGTCCTTGGGGGACACTGGTGCTGTGTGGTGCTTCCCACCCCCTTTCCAAGGGCCAGAGCCCTTCATTCAACCTTCTGCCTCCAGATCCGGGAGGAGATTGACCACTATGGCATCCGCATCTACCAGTTCCCTGAGTGTGACTCAGATGAGGATGAGGATTTCAAGCTGCAGGACCAGGCGATGAAGGTGGGTCTGGCTCCTCCAGCTCCATCTTTGGAGGAGCAGAGCCCTATGGCCAGGAGGACACGTCATCCTGGGATACCTTTAGAAGACATTTTGGGGCCACACAAATTTTCTGGTGGCCCCAGCATGGTGGGGTTGGTACATATTGCACTATCAGGATGTGCCACCAAAACCCCATAGATGCCACCTGCAGCTTGGTGGGATGAGGCTGAGGTGCAGCGCATGGCATGGACAAACCCATGGCATGACTGCTGCCGTCCCACCTGGGACCCTCCATGGCTGGATATCCCAGCAAATAGGTGCTGGATACGGCTGAGGAGATGCATGTGGAGGGATGTGGGTCATGGGGGACAGGACCAAGCCCTGCTGACCCCCACCATCCCCTTGCAGGAGAGCATCCCCTTTGCTGTCATCGGCAGCAACACAGTTGTGGAGGCCAAAGGCCGGCGTGTCCGTGGACGCCTCTACCCGTGGGGCATCGTGGAAGGTAACGCTGGGCCACATCCCACTTCTGGGGACAGGGACATTGTGTGCCCCATCTCCATAGTGCTCAGCCCCATGGGGGTGTGTGAAGGGAGACAGGGGGCCTGGTGATGGCCCCCCCTGACCTCGGGCTCCTCCACAGTGGAGAACCCATCCCACTGTGACTTTGTGAAGCTGCGGACGATGCTGGTGAGGACCCACATGCAGGACCTCAAGGACGTGACAAGGGAAACCCACTACGAGAACTACCGCACCC